TCTGCCCTGTAGTGACTCACTGTGACGTTATGTAAAAAATGTCTGCTTCAATCTAGTTCTCCTTGATTCCCCTCCCTGTTCCATGTTTTTCTTGTTCTATTCAACAGAATAATTATTTAGAGTATGTCTCAGGTGAGGCAAAAGGAGTGCCATCGATGCGTCAACCACTAAACCTCGACCACAAAAAGCCAGACATTCAAGCTCCAAAAAACAAAATGCTTTCAAAGTCAGTCTGAGGATGCAACAACCAAACATTTTGATAATTGATTAATCTGATGTTTATTCCTCAAACTAATGGACTTTGGTAGGTTTTGACTAATTATTCAGCTTCGTAAATTTGTTAAATTATCATAACTAAGAAATACAATTGTTTTAGCTTTTAGCCTAACATCATCTGTTATAAGTTAAATTGATATGAACATTTTTCCCCAGCATAATCTCACCTGAAAGACTAAAAAAGAAGTAACTGATTGAAGAGTATAAACTAATTGTTTTAGCTTTATGGATTATATGGTGAAGAAGCTTTATTCAAAATCTCCAGACATTTAGCATTCTCAAATCTCAGCATTATTGTCTTGCTTTTCACATATTTGTGTTAGTTAAAGCATCACATTTAGACTTTTAATAGAAAATTGTTATTTTCAACATCCACTATGAGACATCCAACATTTGAATTGTTCTTGGTTTATTCTTATCATGGTCTAATTTATTCAGTAATTCATTAATTTTCCTTCGGTATAGTCCTGGGTCGCCACAGTGAAATGAACCATCCACTTATCCAAAGCCCATACACACTCACATTCATACTTATACAGCACGGTTTATTTAGTTTAATGAATTCACCTATACCGCATGTCTATGGACTGTGGGGGAAACCCATGCGAACACGGAAAGAACATGCAAACTTTACAAAGAAATGCCAACTGACTTAGTGGGGACTTGAACCAGTGACTTTCTTGCTGTGTGGTGTCACTAAACAACTGTGTCGCCCTCTTATTGTGGTTTAATATTCCTAATTGAACACTTTTAAAACATGCATAAAAATACACCTGTCGTGTATCAGTTACAGGCAACAACAAAACATTTTTGGTCTAATTTTGACCGGATCAGCCTTGCGTTGTCACGATACTGAAATTCCGTACCAATCGATATAGAAATTTTAAAAACGTCCATTTCCTGTGAACATTTAAGCACTGTGGAGCACATTCCTAAACAATGAATTAATAATTCATAATTAATTCCCCGCCGCCAATGACGACGATGCCATTGTCCTTCAGGATGTTTCATATTAGACTTCACATGATGCCAAATTGGTCGACATCGCCCAACCCTAATCCAGACCCTTTTAAAGATAACTTTATGGTGATTTAGCAGATAACTAAAAGATCATGCTTAATTATCTGTCCTGTTCTGACAAAAATGGTGCTGTTTGTTTTTATTCAGTACTCAAAATCACTCACTTTTATTGTATGCAAAAGAGCAGCCTGAAGACATTTCAAAACATCTTTTTTTTGTATAAGAAAGAAGAAAGATGATAATCAAGCTTGCAATGGCATTAACCAGAAAACTATTTAGCAATTATCATTTTTGAGTGAACTATTCCTTAAGGCAGACTCAAATTCCAGGCCAATTCCATCAATCATAAACAGGAAATGCAAGAGATTTATCTGGAAGTACATCCTGTAACGTTAGAGCCAAAGGAAACGGCTGGGAGAGGGAACAAAACAGCAGCCCCGTGCTCACACATGAGCCTGAGCTTTCTGAAGCCGACACAAGCTGCGGCACTGGCTAACAATAGCCTGGCTTGATAATAACAGAAAGACTGCAAAACCCCCCCAAAGATCGGAGTCATCACTAGATCCACGTGACTCCCCCAAAAAAGTGTGTTAAAAAAAACACCCAAGGAAGGGTTATTGAGGTCTTAGTGGCTGAGAAAGAGACAATGAACAGCATGAATTACATACAGAGTGCATTGCTATTTTTACGAAAGTCTCTCCTTAGAGACGGTTCTGGTTTCCTAAGCCTTTCCTGGAAGCTGCACCGTCCTGGCCTGCTTCCTGTGCCACCGCTGCCATCCCTGACAGGAATCTACGGTGAGGAGGAGAACTCGCTTGTAAAGAGCGGTAGATGAACAATTCCTCTGTATGGCCTCCTCCCTGCCTTGTCATCAACTGGAGACAATAAGCATTAAGTGAAACCAACTCAAAGCCGTATGATGTACGGGAAAGTGAGCACAGGAAATTTAGGCGTAGTTTGAAATGACCTCAGATCAAGCAGATCTCTCCCAAAAAATAAAGTGTTATTCAGACTCTGAATCAGGCATTGAGACATCCTATATTATTTTAAGAGAAGTTTACTTGAATTGATGCAATTTCTCAAGGAAGTGATTCAAAATACTGGGGCCAGTATTAGATTCTGACGATATGATAACCTTGGATAAAAATACCACGGTTTCACAGTACTGTGATTACTGCTCTAAAATCTATTCTTTTTAAATGTCTAGGTAAAAACAAAAGCTTTTTCCCTTTGAACACAAAGCGTTTTATTTTAAGAAACATTTAAAGAATTTTGGAGAAGTAAACATGTCACGCTCAATAATTCAAATGACTCATTGACTTCTGATGCATTCATTAGTTTAAAAAAATGCTAATTTCTTTACAATTTAAAATGGCCTCTTTGGTCATCTTTTTTGCTGGAGATTTCTTTTTATGTGTTTGTTGTTGTCTTAAAAAATGTAATAAAAAAAAGTAAATAAAAACATTACATATACCATAGGCACGGTATAGGAGAAAATTTTGGCGATTTTAAAACCTTGACTTTTCCAATTCATGGTATACTTTATTAACTGTCATCATCCCATGCCTAAACATGCATTTTTGCGAGCTGTAAATGTATGAAAAAAATGATGACAGCAAAATTGTCCACTATTAACAAGGAAATATTTGATCATGACCACATGATACTACAGTTGGTCTAACTCCTGTGTAACTGAAGCAATATTTGAAATAATTTACAATTATTTGATTGGAAACTGAAAAAGACGCGATTGGCGTAACACGCCTTTTCCACTCAGAGTTGACTTTTTTCAACTGCGAACACGAAGCGCAATGGCAAACACACAAGGTGCATTAGCAGCACCCAAAATGCTCGCGGCCGTTAGTAAATCATTCAAAAAAGGCACCTCTCAACGCAAAAAAACGTTCAGTGTGACCGGCCATTGAGTTGGTTTGTTGCTTTTTCTTTCCATGATTCCCTAATCGATCAAGATTTATTTGCAGATTTATTTTGAGTCATTGACAATGTGGTTTATTAACAAAAATTCTACTGTTGAAACTTATGTTGGTCCAAACAAATAAAGAATTTGTTAATGTCTGGAACACAAATAAAGATCTTTTTCAATAAAATCTGAGACATCTCTGTACCTTTATTGAATGTCATTCACCCAATGTACATAATAAAATGCTTCAGTATACTCATAAAGAGACCAAACCAGGGATGCACTGATTTTCTGGCTGTTGAAAATTATCAGATAAAAACAACATTTTTAATTTTCCATCAAAAGAGAAAAACAGCAAAAAATATAAGACAGATCTTTGCTTTTTATACAGAGGTGGAAGGCAATGTGTTATGATACCTATTCATTTCAAATGAGCAACCAAAGAGCAAGAGCAGCTGAGCGTAATTGACAAGTTTGCTTCGTGGTTATATCTGCGAATCTTCTAGTCATGTAATCGTATATGTATCTATGTATAAACCACTCATTCTCACCAAAAAAGCAAAGTTCACTCAAATAACATGTCGACAGGACATTTCTATGTAGTATACTTGCTTCTGCTGCTTGAAACAGAGCTAATGCGCTATCATGGCAACACTAGTAAAACAATGCCTCTTGACTCCTTTATAATTAATAACATTTAGCTGTCAATAAAAAAACTGGCTTGTGCATTTTTTTTAATTTACATAATTTAAGTTGAGGATTTTATAAAATAATAAATTATTACAAAGCATTGATTGCAGTGCATCCTTAACCAAACTAATCGATACAAATCAACTGTTTTTAAGTCTTCTGAAGAAACGTAATCACATTACATGGCGAACAGATCTTATTTTTGGCTTTTATTCACAAAAAAAGCAAACAATCTTTACAGCATTCTAATTTGTTTATAGAAGATGAAAGCCTTTATGATGCAAAAGAACCAATGAGGTTAATTCTTGCGTCACATGACATATGATCTTCACCAATGAGATTTGTTCTCACAGATAAAGTAGGTATGGCTGAGCTTCATTTTAGTTAAAAATAAATCAGTTCTCGCACAAAGTGATCAAGCCTTTTAACTTTTAAAGTGAACAGTTTCATCTAAAAGACGGGAATTGCTCTGATTTGATTTTAAATATTGTTATTTGCATCATCATAACAAAAGATAGTGTTTCTTTACTATGCCTGGTTAGTCTAGCTGTTTTGTTTGTCAGGGAAAGTGGCAGGGGAACAGAACATCTGCATTATGATTGGTCGGGTTGCCTGTCAATGTTACGGCAAAGAATCAATTGAGAACTTCCATCAAGTCATTTTATTCATTTAGATTGAAGACAGTTTGCTAAACAACAAGAAAAGTGCACAGTGCATGAAGTGAACAGCGTTTTCAAGTAGCACATTCCCCAGTAAAACAAACGATCTGTGTAAAATGCTGAGATTTGTGCCGGCCCAAAAATAGCAATCCAGCGCCAGGCCGAGACCCCCAGGGAATTATCAGGGGGGGTAGAAGGGAAACTCAGATGAGAGGAAGGGGTTTGGTTTTGTGGCTGCTGATAAGATGCTTGAGGGGGACATGAATACTTTTGCTGATAGTTTGAGGTTTTGGTTGGACACAAAATGGGACATCAAAACAAAGCTTGGAAATACCAAAAAACAAACCACACAATAAGGCTGCAGTGATTCAGAGGTGATTTCCCTACACTTTTAAACATGGCAAAAAAGGCAGCGAGTTCATGGAGTTGCTCACCTCTCCAAAGGCTCCCCTGCCGATCACTTTCAGCATCTCGAAGTCGTCTCTGTGAAGGCGCATCTCTTTCACAGTGGTTGTAAACGGCTTCACTGCAAAATAAAAAGAAACAGAAAGAAGTTAGTCACATGTCACGCATTTATACTTCTGCATGGTGTCTGTGTTGCTCTGCAATAGCACTTTCAAAATGCTAGTAGTTATGTATAACGTAACCATAATAGGTTATGTTACATTCCACTGTGTAGTGTTTCTTCATGGGTGTTTTGTTATTTCTGAACGCTACCTTGATGTACAAGTAGCTCAAACTCGCTGAATCAGAGGCAGGAACTGGCGAATGTGCAACAACTTTAATCATAAGGTGAACAAAACAAAAGTTTCCATCTAGAGCTCCCTCCAGGACTCAACACTTGTAAACACTCGCTCCATCGGGCTCGCTGCTCTCAGAACCACCCAAACTTGCGCTTGACGTGAAAGTATAAATCAGCGTTTAAGCACATATAATGAAATAAAAATAAAAAAACATACCAGCAAATAAAATGGCAAACAATAATGTGACTTAACAAAAACTACAATTGTACAATCTGTAAAAAAATCTGTAAATCTGTAAATAAAATGTGCAGAGTTCTCAAAAGATTTATCTGATCAGGATTGAAAACTAGCATGCACATTTAATTATAAAAGTAAAATAATAAATATATATTTTATTTAAAAAGTGAAAAAAAAATTACGGGTGTAAAAATAAAATGTAAATCCTATTCAAAAATAATAAATATTAACATAAAAATTACATAGAAAATACAATTAAAAATATTAAAACCAAAAATACATATTTGCAAACAATTACAATTAAAAATGCTAAATTAAAAAACAAATAAAAGATTAAAAATAAGTAAATAACTATTTAATTAAGAATAAAAATATTACAATGTAGAAACATACTTATTGCTTTAATACTTACTAGGGGTGTAACAGATCATAGTTGATCTGTGATTCGTATGAATCACAACCTACAGTTCGGAACACAAGTGGCCCACGGATAATAATGAAGCATCACAGAGAGATCGCCTCTTTCGGCATTCAAATCACATGTTTGCAATCATTTAGGTTTTCCTGTAAAATATGATGATGGCGGAAGTTGTGGTAGGTAATTCGGGATGTGGTGGCTTTCATTAAAGGTGTTTTCTGTCACTACTTGTTTTGCCTGCATTAATGCATTCAGTGTTAGCTGCATTATTATTCATTAAAAGTTCGGGATCTCAACACCCACGCAACAAATTATAAATGATGGTGATTTGCATATGTTTATTAATCCTTCAAATCGCTGCATTCAAATCTGTGTTTGAATACGACAAAAATCAACAAAGAGATTGTCTTTTGAGTTAGTTATAAAGTAAAAAAACAGTCAGTTAACACAGAAGTACTATTGAATAACAGTTTATAGTTTAGAAAACCACTGATGTATATAGTAAATATTAAAATTACTGTCATATGCATTTAACTTGACGCTTAAAAATGAAATTTGTAGGGAGTAGGGATGGGCCGATAGATGATGCCATCATCCATCGCTGATGGCCAACAGGCAATACGATGCTGAGCCGGCATCGCCAATCCTCTGCCCCGCCCCCCATCACAAACCCGCACGCGAAAAATACACACTTAGGCCCCGTTTACACTAATACGTCTTAGTGTTAAAATGGCATTTTAGAACGAAAATGATCCACATCCACGCTGTGTTTTACCTATGGCATTTCTGAACAGCCTTCCGTCCGCTGAAAACACACATTAGGTGACCACACACACACAGACAAAGCCACACACTGTCATGCGCTCCTCTGAGCTCCAGAGAGCAGTGCACGCCGGACAGTTTATCAAGGATGTACCAATGGATCGCGTCTCACTATAGTTGTTATTCAGTTATTAATGTGATATTCAGACATCCCAAGACTCCCGGAAGTTCCGGGAGTCTCTATGCATTTCAGTGACTCATAATGCCTGCAAACGAGTGATAATCTCCCTCCCAGTCCTCAAGTCGCGCACCCTTCTCACCCCCGGGTCCCTCCTCACTCTTTAGACACGTAGCGCGCACTCGATCAAATAATAGAGTTCTTGAGCGAAAAACTGAATGATATATTGAAAATAAGACTACAAATAAATATTGGTTGTACCAATTATAATGCTACATATGACAAATACATTTGCTGTCATCAGCAACAATAGTAATAATAGTGAATTTTTTACAGTACTGAATATTTTATAATTTATTTAGCTGATTATTTCTTCATTTTATTAGTAATAAAATTACAGGTTCTATGTTCTGTTTGTAAAATCCAAAGTTTCTTGCAGCACTGTTTTTGTAATAAATGGTAAGCAATGAAAATTTTTGTCTTCTCCCCTTTTTGGCTGATCTAAAAAAATGGTCCGATCCGTGACTAAAAAACTACTGTGTGAACCAAACGGTGAGATTTGTGATCCGTTACACCACTAATACTTACAAAACAATTTTAAGCAATGCTGCAATTAAAACAAAACAAACAATCCTGCAATAAAAATTACAAAATGAAAAAGTCAAATAAATTTCAGTTTCAAAATCACACATTTAAATAAAATTAATCTATTACAAAATAATCATTTGAATCAAAAATGAAAATATAATAAATAGGCTGATATTGCACAAAACAGTCCACTAATAACACCACAAATCACAAAAGTAACTATGCAATGATGCGCTAAATGTTGATTTTTCAACTCTGTCACCACACTATTTGAAACACTTCAATAACTCCATCAAAAAGAGCAGTAAACAGATTAAAGAAACAATGTAATAATCTAAACAGTGTGTAACATCTCACGTTATCAAACTGTCATTCCTTCTGCTTTTACTAGGCGCTGCTGGGGGCCTGGCGAGCACCCAAGACACTGCTAAGCCAGCCTGAACGCCTCGCCATATGAGGACATGCGCAGAGTCTCGTGTAGTTACAAAAGACATTTATCACTCATAAGGGCTCTAAAACTCCAAACACACGCCAGGCCTGAGCCTCAGCCGTTCAGACAGAACCGCCGCACGGAAAGAACATCATCTGCTTTTAATGAGAAGATTCCTCAAAGCGCCCCGGCATCAATTGACAGCTTTATGGCCCAGCATGGACCAGGCCAGCACACTAGTGCGTCACTCCCAAGACACTAACAACAAAAAGTCAACAACTGACGCTCATTTAGAAAGCTACTTGTATTATAACAGCAGAAGTTCATAATGTTGACTCATGACTTGGTAGTTTTGTGCATCTCGTCAAATTTACTATGCAAAGTGGTTCCTGTCATCTATTGTTAGCCTGATGGGACGCCATGAGCCATTCTGGGTAAATGTGATTTATGTCATGTGAGAATTAGGATGCATGACTATTAAACTATGCTGTATCTATGAAGTATATTTTCTGAATTTTCAACCACTGCTAACAATTAGATACTCAAAAAGCATTGCAATTAAAAAAAAAATAAATACAATTGTATAAAATATTAAGATAATTAAAATACATTGAAATAAAATACAAAACAAATGAAAATAAAATGAATGTATTAAAATGCAACAATTATTTAATAATAAAAGTGTTATTTGTTTATTTTATTGGTAATAAAATAATGTAAAATAAAACAATTACATTTTATTACATTTCAAATAAAAACTTTCTTGTAAACAAAATAGTAAGATAATAAAAAATGTAAATAAAAAAAAACAAAACAACAAAATGAAAATAAATGAATTCCTTAATAAAATGCAATTACTTTATTATAAAATTGTTTTTAATTGGTATTAACATCAAGTAAAATAAAACAATTAAATTTTTTTTATTTTAAATAAAAAATTGTAGATAACCTATTAAAATAATAAAAACATAAAAATAAAATACAAAATAAATGAAAATAAAATAAATTTATTTAAAAATGTAATTATTTTCTAATAACACTGTATTTTTTAATTTAGTGGTAATAAAATAAGGTCAAATAAAACAATTACATTTTATTACATTTTGAATAAAAACTTTATTGTAAAAAAACTATTAAGATAATAAAAAAAATACCAAACAAATAAAAAATAAAATGAATTTATTAAAGTAAAATACAGAAATTTTATTATAAAATTGTTTTTTATTTTATTAGTAATAAAGTAAAATAAAACAATACATTTCATTTTATTTTAAATAAAAACTTTTTTTACTGTAGATAAAAGACACACACACACTAGCATACATACACGATTGTAGACAATACAGAAACTAATATTCATATTTAAACTATGCTTTGTTTTTCATAAATGTAATCTGATAATCCTCTCAGCCCCTCAAATATAATGAGGTATTTCTCCAAGTCTCCAGGTCCATGTATTTTCAATTACAATGAACTCTCGCTGCTCGTTTAATAAATGATTATGGCAACATCAGAACACCAGCTGCAGGGCTGAAAATATGAAAACAAGCTTCAAGAAAAGTTCCAGCAGCCAACAGAAACAGAGGCAAAAGTGAAACCAACAGCTCAGATTGAGGGGAAAAAAGAAAAGGAAAAGTATTGGAAGAAGAGAAAAGCGCACAAACAAATGCTTGAAATTTGAGCTCTAAAACAGCATATTAGGAGGGTTTTAAAACAATAAAAATTAGTAATGACTGCTGAAAATTAAGCTTTGAAAACACAGGAAATTTTAAATGAAATATATTAATATTCATTCATTCATCAATTTTCTTTTCGGCTTAGTCCCTTTATTTATCCGCGGTTGCCAGAGCGGAATGAACCGCCAACTTATCCAGCACATGTTTTACGCAGCGGATGCCCTTTCAGCTGCAACCCATCACTGGGAAACATTCAAACACAGACACTACGGATAATTTATCCTATACCCAATTCACCTGTACTGCATGTTTTTGGACTTGTGGAGGAAACCGAAGCACCCGGAGGAAACCCATGTGAACACAGGGAGAACATGCAAACCACACAAAAAAAGGGCAAATGACCCAGCTGAGGTTCGAAACAGCGACCTTCTTGCTGTGAGGCGAACGTGTTATTTTTTTGCAGCTTTGGTTAATATTGGGTAAATACTGTATAA